GATACAGATCGCTAGATGCGCCTACTCCATCCCATTTGTTTTTGCTTGTGGTTGGAAAGCAGGTCACTGCTGGTCTTCTCCTCGGCCCCCTCGCAGATCTTGCCCTTGGCCCGCAGGTGGAGTCTGTTCTCCTTGCGCACCCAAGGCACCTTTGCCCTGCCTTGGGCCGCCACTGCCAGCAGCTCACACAGGTCCATTAGGCCGCCATCACCACCTGGAGCAGCAGCCCTGCCCAGCACAAATGAGGCGAAGTGGCTGGATAGCAAGCTCAAGTAGAGGTGGTAGAGCATGCCCATGCCCAGCAAGCCAAAGGCCACCCCAAGCGGGGAAAGCTGTATCCCCATCGGTGCCATGGCCCCCCAGTCCCAGCTAGGATTGCGTGCCTCCCCCCATCTTTGCTGGGCCTGGGTGGCCATGATGCTGATGGGGATCTGGCTTTCCCTGTTTGGGGTGGCCTTTGGCTTGCTGGGAATGGGTATGGGCATGTTCTACCATCTCTACTTGAGCTTGCTAGCTGGCTTCTTCGCCTCCTTTGTGCTGGGTGGGGCTGCCGCTCCAGGTGGTGGCGACCTAATGGACCTGCACAATCTGCTGAGGGTTGCAGCGCACATGCCCACAGAGAGGTCTCTGAGTGCCGCCTCTGGCACGCGTGCCATAGGTTCGCCACGACTGACATAGATTATAGGGAAGCTTTTTTTCCTGAAATCTCCACTCTTGAAACCAAAATAGCATTAGCACTTAGACTTATATACCACTTCACAGTGATTTACAGCCCTCTCAAAGTGGTTTGCAGAGTCAGTGTATTGCCCCCAACAATCTGGGTTCTCATTTTACTGGCCTCGGAATGATGGAAGGCTGAGTCAATCTTGAGCCGGTGAGAATCAAACTCCCAGCAGCCAACAGTCAGCAGAAGTAGCTGTAATACTGTATTCTAACCAGTGTGCCACCACGGCTCAGAAATCACAGGATTTCTGCTCTAGACTGTTGGATTTTTGGTACAGGTCCATAGTTCAATAATAAAACACTGTATAAGAGTAATCCTCAGCCCCTAAAGCTAGCATAGGCACAAAAAGAACCCAGTTAGCTGTATTTACATCTATCTATAATGACACATTTTATTTTAGTCCATTAATTGAGCCACTCTGAACGCAGCATACTCCCCATTTCTATCAGCTATAAGTATGCTTGAGTTCATTCTATATCTATATAATAAAAGCCCAGCTGCTCTTTGTTTGGATATGTACCGCTTTAGTTCTTTTTTTGTAAAATGGATCTGTGAAAGAAAGATAACAGCATTGTGTCCAGATTGTCGGAGACATTATTTTCAAGAGAAAAATACAACAAAATGTTAGCTAGATAAAAGGTTTGCCCTTGAAATGTGAAGTTTTTTATATGTCAAAGATAATTCGCTGCAGTGGTGAATGGTTGAACCATTCTGTAAAGACCAGCCAGCTCTATGGTAACCTGAACCTAGTGCCTGGAGCAAAAGATTGGGCATAGATGTCCCTTCCACAATGTTTCAGGTTTTCCCTTATCACAGCTTCTTTTAGATAAAAACAATACACCAAATAACTGGCTAAAGCAAAGCAAGCATCCCAACACAGCCAGGTTTTGTGCTGCAAATGTTTTTAGGACTGATTATTGTGTAAAGCAACATGGTGGACCCATTCTGACAGTTATAACCCAAAGCATCTGCAGAAGATGAGAAGTATATTTTGGCCTCTCTATTTAAGATCAAGCAGCAGAATCAACTTTTTCTTGACATTTCTTGAAACCTAATAAGTGCTAGCTGCCAATTGGAAAGTTTCTATACAGTGAAGTTGTAATATTCTGATCAAGTAATATCTGTTTGAAGGATCTGAAATTCCTAAATGTTTCTGGGAAGCGACACACAGCACTTCTTCTTTTTCTGGACTTTTAGAAAGACAATCTGTCTAGAATCAAAATAAGCAGAACTGCCTATGTTGTTCTCAGATGCTTATTTAATTAGGAGACTAAGACTTGAAATGCTTCACTTGCTCTTCTTAATTAATCACTTTAGGAGGTTTCCTCTTTTTTTTTTTTTAATAACTTACAAAATAGTTTTGAAAATGGACTGGAAAAAAAACCCAGAATGAATTTTAAGAGAGATATGCATTTTTTCTGCTTATGAAATAAAAAGCCAAGATTTTAGCTAACAAGAAACTGAGCTAGTAGTTTCAGGCAGCTGCGAAAAAAGCAGAAACAATGTTTAAGTTGTGTGAGAAAATATAAAACTTGGAAAACAATTGTTCTACTTTATTCTGCCCTGGGCAGAATAATTTGGGCCAGTGTTTCTCAACCTTGGCAGCTTTCAATTTGGTGGACCACAACTCCCAGAATTCCCCAACCAACAATGGCCTGGGGACCATACTGTAAGAAGGATAGAGAAAAAATAGAACAGATTCAAAGTATCTATAAAGGAATGTCAGAGGACTATGCAGAGACCTGAAGAAACTGGAAGTGATAAGGCTCAAAGAGAGAATATTCATAGAGGATATAATAACATTTTTTTTCATATACAAAAGGAGGCCAAGTTCTTTTATCTGTTATTTCAATGTGTAGGATAAGGACTCATCGTTTTCAGTTACAGAAAGGGAAGTTCTTACTGAATGCTACAAAATCCTCCTAGCGGAAGGAGTGGTTAAATAAGGGAACCAGTCACCCATTACCGTGGTGGAATTCTCTTCACTGGAGGTGTTTCTGGAGGGACTGGATAGTAATTGATTGGAATACTTTAATCTGAATTCTGCACTGGGTTGAGGTGAGGAGAAAGTCAGATGGTCTAGAAAACAACTAGCAAATAGGAAAGCCCGGTGGTGGAGGCTTTAATTGCTCCTGGTGGAGCAATTAAAGGAGGCTAGCCAGGGAACCATAAAGTTTGTGACAGCTCTCGAGCAACAACTGTGGAAAAAAAAGAGCATGGCCCCAGAACTGGAAAAAGTTGGTTTATTTCCCAATTCCTAGAGAGGGATATTTAAAGGGAACATACGACCATCTAGCTAATATAGATATATATATATATATAAGAGAAAAAAGCAAGAGAATATTAAAAATAGCTTTACTTTTTATAGACAATTTCAAAACTTTTGATAATCTTTATCGTTCAGGACTTTGGAAGTCTCTCAAAGCAGTGGATATACCACAACATCTGAGTTTTTTTAGAAGAAATATTTACAATAACCAGAAAGCCACAGTGACCCACAGGGTAGGGAAACCAATTTCCCTACCTTGTCACTACCCTTGCATGGAGGGACCTGGATGGTGGGACAACAGAATTTGAATGAACTATGGCAAGACCGAATGGCTTTGGGCGCGTGGAACCTCAGATCTGGGTTTTTGTCATCCTTAGTTCTGGATGGGATTGCACTAGGGACTCAGACTCACTTTGTAACTTAGGGGGTTCTACTGGAATCATGTCTCCTGCTCAAAGAGCAGGTGGCAGGTGTAATTGGGAGAGCTTTTGCACAGCTCCGATTTGTTCACTAGATGCAACCTTTCCTGCATCATTGACTCCCTGCGCTCAGTTACTCAAGTTCTAGTCACCTCTTGTCTGGATTATTGCAGTGCACTCTACATGGAGCTACCCTTGAAATCCATTCAGAAGCTTCAACTGGTGCAAAGTGTAGCAGTGAGACCAGTCTTTGGGGCTCCTAACATGACCCATATTACACCTCTGCTCCATGAAATTCACTGACTACCGGTCTGCTTCTGAGTGCAGTTCAAGGTGTTGGTTATGACCTTTAAACCCTTAATGACATAGGTCCAGGCTACCTGATGAACCATTTTGTCCAGTGGTGGGATTCAAATATGTGAACAACCAGTTCTCTGTGTGGATGCCGCTTCCAGAAGTCCATTCTGAGCCTGGGCAACAAAAAATTAGCTACTGGTTCTACCGAAATGATGCGAACCGGCTGAATCCCACCACTGACTTTGTCCCACTAGGATAAGTCTGGCCTACTTGTGCCAGAAGATTGGTCCAACTACAGATCCCATTGGTCAAAGAACTCTGACTTCTGGGAATCCAGAAGAAGAGCTTTTTCTGCCACAGTGCCTGCCCTTTGGAATATACTCCTCTCTAGGTAAGTTCTGCCTCCACCATCCTATCCTTCCACAGGAGCCTGAAGATCTGGCTCTGCCAGTTGGCCTGGGGACCAAATGAAGGTGGAGGTGGATTGAAGGCAGACTCCCTCTCCTCCTCCTTTGCTCTCTGATCTCCACCCCTCCATCTTTTTGTTATCATATTGCTGTATTCTTGTTTTCATCTTCATTGTTTATTTTATTATTCCATTATTTTATTTTTGTTTTGTTTTTGATAATCTAATAACACAAGAATGGTTTACCATTGGAAAAGGAGTCAGACAGGACTGCTATACTTCTATGCTTGTTCAATTTCTACACTGAATATATCGTATCGGCTTTTGGTCCGGAAGAGGAAAAAATCAGTGAAAACAATGTCAAAATCTGAGATCAGTAGACATCACTACATTGGTTGCAGAAACTGAGAATGACTTAACAGCAATTATTCTAAAAACGAAAACAAGCAAAACTAGGAGAGTGAAAAGGCAGAGCTTTCCTTGAATGTTAAAAAATACTGGTGGAAAAAGTGAGTAATTTAAGGTGAGAAAGGAGACAATAAAAATAGTGGATAATTACCAGATTAAACCGGAGGAACAATACTGGGGGAAGGTGAGGGGAAATCATGTAGAAGATGGCAGAATTGCTGAGATGCAGCCCTCATGGACAGCTTCCTTCTTTGGTCAGCTTGCCTGGCAATGGGAGGTGTTCTAGGTTTAGGCAATTTAAAACTGCCCAAGGCCAAATCTAGCTGAACAGATTGGAGTTTATAGGTCACACTATAAACAAGACTGCCAAAGGGTTGCAATTCCTTCTGACCCGGGGGCCATTAAACAGGATGCAGAAGTTTCCTTCTGCCTCTAATGCAAATCTCAATAATTATTTAGCCTTTCAGAGAATGTTACCTTTTTATGGTCTCTTTGATTAGAGGTTTTGCCTTTCCATTCATCGTATGTGTCTCTAGATGTTTGTCTTCATATAGATTTGTCATCAGATGGCAGGACTTGTCTCTCACCTCATGTGATAGAGAAGTTTCTCTGGCATCTGGCCTTATTTGCCGACATTTGAGCAACCTCTGATAAGCTGTCCGGAAGTCCCTATTCAGTGCAGCATACAAAATGGGGTTCAGAGCCGAGTTGGCATAACCCAGCCATAGGACAACAGTCATCAGTCGGTCACATACTGCACCCATCACACCTCGGTATGTGAACACAGTAAAATAGGGAAACCAGCATACAATGAAGGCGCCCATCACAGCTGCAAGGGTCACAGTGGCTTTGTGTTCTTTCACTGTGGGCAATATAGTTTTGTCAGTCTTGCAGCAAGTGCTGTGGTTGATCCTCTTAGCTTGTTCCCTGGCTATTTTAAATATCCGGTAGTAGGTGGTGCACATGATAATTAAGGGGAAGTAGAAAGTTAGCAAGCCATCCACCAGAACGTATGAAGCATTGACCTCCAGTTTGCACTCTTGCTTCCCATTCATTTGGATCTGGTTCTGGATAGTCATGTCTTTGGTATTCCATCCCAAACTGATGGGTAAGAAAGAAACCATAAGGGACACTACCCAGATCAGGATCAAAGCTACAATGACTCGTAAAGGCGTGACCACAGTGCTGTAGCGGAGGGGTGCCGTAATAGCATAATAGCGATCGAGACTAATGACGAATAGATTGAGAATGGAAGCGGTGCATAGCATGACATCCAAGCTAACGTAGACATTGCAGAAAGTAACATTCAGGAGCCATTCATGGGAGGAAATTTCATAAACGGCTGAAAAGGGTAAAACCAGTAGGCCTAGTAGTAGGTCTGTAAAGGCCAATGAGACAATGAAACAATTAGTTAGGCTGCGAAGCCGTCGATTGAGATAGACAGCCAAACATACCATCACATTACCACACACAGTCACAACAATGAGAACTGTGAGAACAGCTCCAATCAGCACCTTTTCCAAAAGGCAGAGAGAACCATCTGTAACGTTTGTGGAATTCATGCTGGCTTCACAAAGTAATATCACTTTTCGTCCATGCAGATTCCTGTGACAGCTGCCACACAGATACTTAGGAAGGATGCTAGTCCAACTATTTTCTTTCACCCATCTCACAACTGGTTCCCAGGTTCTAATCAATGAGATAGTATCAGGAAGACAGCTGGCTCTGAGCAATTGGCTAACAATCAGATGCCTTCTCCCATTACGTAGCTATGAGTACAGTGAAATAAACTGGATCCTGTTCATTTTTCCCCAGAGGAATCTTTGCTTGGTGAATAGTTACAAAAAAAAAAGGCTAGAACATTCATTAACAATGAATGCATGACAATTTTTGAGAGAATAGTAGTTGATCATTATTTATCAGTGCATGATGACGAAATGAAATCTCCACATTTAGCGGCAGTATACATCTGAGATCAAGCTACACAGAAGGGCTGTTATTTTTACACACTGATTTGTAGATTTCCTGGAAGTATTTGTTTGGCTTCTGTTTAACCTGGTTGCAGTAAAGCTCCTTTCTTTCTTCAGTTTCCTTTGATTTGGGCTGCAGCCTCTTGTTTTTCATCACTCTTCATCACTCATTTCTTCTTTTCAGTGAGGTTATTAATATAGCATATGTTGCTTGAAGTTTTAGCAACCAAATATTGCTTCATATATCACATCAAAGAAGGGCTGGAAAAGTCCTGGATTTTTTTTTTTAGTAATGTTTCTATTTAAAATTCTTCCAAGGTAAGTAGGAGCAGTTGAAGAGTAGGAGGACATATTTCATGCCTTTCCTTGGTAGAATCTGGAAGGAAGAATTAAGAATTAAGTCCTGTATAAAAGACATAAATCTGCCATATAATAGGTAGTTACATCTGTACAGAGGTGTAAATGTGTATACATGTATATAATACTGTACCAAAACTATCTGCAGAGTATGGCAGAATTCTTTCTCTTTCAGGATATTAAGGAGAAACATATTTTTAAGCAGAGAAATTTAGGCGCCTCAGAGATGATTTAACTAAGTATGCCAGAGATTGAACACATGCAAAGTGGGAGGTCTTTCCTAAATGACCTAAGATATATCTTAGGAATTTATTTTATGGATATCTGGATAATTATTTACAGGAATTTCAATTATTCCCTTAAAAACCCCAAGCCACAACAGAACTACTATCATTACTACTACTACTACTACTACTACTACTACTACTACTACTACTACTACTACACATAAATACACAAACTAATAGTTTACCTAGGTATCACTGTATGGTTTGAGAGACACTATATCACTGCAATTACTAAAAAGACCTAGCATGGAGCTGGTGAGGTTAAAGGCAACAGTTAACTCATCACTGGAAAGAAACAGTAGAAGAGATGGAAAAAACAGAATTCAGGGTTTTCATTATTAAGCATGTGAAAATATAAATGCTTCTTTTTAGTCAGGACCAAATTTGCAGGGTAGGTAGATACTTATGAAGGAAAAAAAAGATGTCAGTCTTCACAGAATCATTGCAAAGATCTTGTACTTCTGGCTTAATATTTCTGTTTTTCTCTAGTAGGGAATGAAATTTCCAGAAACGCTAGATTATTGGAAACAGATGTAGGCTGCCAAATTTCATAGAAGATAACATATATATATATAAACCTACAATAGGTTTCTTCCTAAATTCCATAGAAATCTGTGTTTTTGAGCTATAGTCCTTTAAGTTGAATGAAGTTCATATGAAAACTACATGGTTATGAAAAGTGTATATGACATTTCACAGAAATCATTGTTAGGGTTTGAAGCAGCATGCTTTTAAAACCATACATTTACACATATATGACTTTTTTGCTTTTTCCCCCTGACTGAATATGTTGCAACATATTATGCTGAAGTATCTTATTATGAAAAATATTCATAATTCAACAGGAGGTTGCAAGGAATAATGAACAACCTTCCTGATTATTGTGGAATTTGGTGGCAAGGACAAGACATTATCTTGATAGTAGTGCCATTTTTTTTTAAAAAAAGCAACAAAGCTAACCACTTATCTAGAAAACTCACAAACATTCCCATGCAATTACTATAATGAAAGACAGAAGACAAAAACTCCATTTAGATGTTCTTATATCTGGAACAGTAAATGCTCAAATAATCTTGTTCTCTGCAGGCATTGTATGTTCACTGTGGCTTATTGCAGGGAAAAAACCTACAACGTGCTGTATATAGGCAGGATTCCACATGAGCCAAGAAACTGATAATGCATAATACAGTGTTCTGACTTGACAGAAGCCGTAGATTTTTCCCCCCTGAAGATCATCAAGCTGAATGTGTGAAGACTGCAGGAAGCCAATATCACAAGAACACCAGTGATGGATGGAATTATCTGAAGTGCTCTTATTTTGAGCACTCCAGTTAGAATAATGTCTGAATTGGCCTAATGAGATGAAGAAAGCATTAGAACTAAGCTTATCTTTTCCAAGATCTTCTCTTCCAAGATATATTTGGGCTTGCCTGTAAGCCCATGTTAGCCAATGAATACCCTACATCTCCCCACTAGAATGGTTTACATAAATTGGGTCAGTTTTTCTCCATTTTTGTGGTGCAGCTCTCATGGTGCAATAACCTGCAGCATGTTAGGGTTCTGACGTCTACCTTTAAGAAATAGGAATTCAAAGATAAATGTGAAAAAAAGGAGAGGGAGGGAGGGAGGGAGGGAGGGAGGGAGGGAGGGAGAGAGAGAGAGAGAGAGAGAGAGAGAGAGAGAGAGAGAGAGAGAGAGAGAGAGAGAGAGAGAGAGAGAGAGAGAGAACACTATGAGGGCAATTTAGAAATAAACCTCTGTTTGAGCATGTGTGAGAAATAGGCTGGGATAGCGACGCCCGTCCTATGGTGCCGTGTGCAGTAGTTCAGTAGGCAGTGAGGAGTGGAAGGAGAAGGTTGTGTTGCAGTTGACTCATCCACTAGATCAATTAAAAATGAAACAGTTTTTTAAATGAAACAGTGACTTGCGTGCACCGCTTCGATGATGACAATGTGCTTCACGATGCTGTTACAGGGTGGCTTCATTCCCAGGCGGGAGATTTTTTTTGCAGAAGGAATTTCAAACCTTGTAAGACATTATGACAAGTAGGCAGTGAGGAGTGGAAGGAGAAGGTTGTGTTGCAGTTGACTCATCCACTAGATCAATTAAAAATGAAACAGTTTTTTAAATGAAACAGTGACTTGCGTGCACCGCTTCGATGATGACAATGTGCTTCACGATGCTGTTACAGGGTGGCTTCATTCCCAGGTGGGAGATTTTTTTTGCAGAAGGAATTTCAAACCTTGTAAGACATTATGACAAGTACCTCAATTTGAATGGCGATTAGGTCGAAAAGTAATGTAATGTAGTTTTCTAATGTATATTATACAAGTTCTGTATCTGCGAGTGTCTCTCATTGATAACCAAACGGAGGTTTATTTCCAAATTGCCCTTCTATCATCAGAAGAATGGAGCAAATTTTATGTTGAGTTAGTTCTGAGGAGATGCAATTACATTAAATCAACACAAGAATTGATAAGAACCAGCTTAGAAATATATATTTATTATTATAATAAATCCCAGGAAGGAAGGATGGAAGATTTTTCTTAAGTCTCTTCCTCTGACCTCAGTTACCTCAGCAATGTGGATGGAATAACTTGCGCTAAGAAGGGATTGAAAAAAAATGCATTGAGACTTAATGGCTGGCCAATGAGCTAAGTCAATCCTTTTCAAATGAGCTGTACCTTTGCAATACATTTTTATACTGATGTATATTTTCCATCCCTGTGGATTGGTTGCTGTATCAGCATATTTGTTGATAAGATGTTATAGATTGGAGAATCGAGGACATGCTATCATTATGTTGCCTTGCTTTACTGTCTGACTGTAACCTTGAAGAACATTTCTTACTCTTCAACAGTACTGTGCAGGGCTTTGGTTCAAGGTTCTAGGTCTCCATTCCATCCCTATCTCCTTCTGTTCTTCCTTTTTCATTTCTCCAAGGCTCAGTATGCAGTCGGTGTTACCCTGTTACTACTACCATTGCTACTACATATGATCTATGTAAAACTCCTTCCTTCCTTCCTTCCTTCCTTCCTTCCTTCCTTCCTTCCTTCCTTCCTTCCTTCCTTCCTTCCTTCCTTCCTTACTTCCTCCCTCCCTCCCTCCCTCCCTCCCTCTCTCATTTTAAAGAGATAATATTTATGTAGCTACAATATTAGTCCAAAATTAATGGTTAACCCCACTCCATGTTTCAGAAGCCTTCAGAACTCCTCTATAAACAATTAAATTGTTTCAGTGTCTACCAAAGCTAGAAACCATTTTGACATGCATCATTGAGGTTGCTATTAGTGATTGCTATAGTTAATATAAGATCTCAAAGCTAGTTTTCTTGTTTGGTAGAGTGAGATTTCCCCTCCCCCCTGAATAATAAGGATCAATTGGCAGCTTCACATAAAACAGGTTTTAAGGTTGCTAAACCTTAAACCTAGTTTAACAAATGATAATGGTATAACCCAAGCAAATAAGTCTTATTATGGTTTATATAAAGGCTAAGAATGCCTGCCTGGCTATAGTGCCCAAATATTTTTTTAGCTTAAACTAATCTGGATTTCTACAAACACAGCCACTCTAATGGCAGCTTCCCTGAGGTGTTTAAACAAAACAATGCTTTGTTCGGCTCTTGAGCAGGTAAGATGAGGGGAAATCATGCAGCAGAAAGCAGGATTGGTGGAGAAGCTTTCCAAATGGGAGGTGTTGTCATTTCTTTGGTTGGCTTGCCTGCCTGTCTGTCCTGCTTCTGAGTTGTAGTAAAGCTAGCTCCTGCTCTTTTGCCCTTCTAATTGGGCTGCTTGCCATGTTGTCAAAGTCAAGAAATATCACCGTTTGAATTAATTAATTAATTCCATGTAAGGAATATCAAATCCCAAATGGCCTGGAAGCATTGTATCTTCCAATTGTCCTCTTCCTCATCTCCTCCCAACTTCACTAATCTGGAAAAAGCCAGGTGAAAACTAACACACA